TCCTCATACATAGGCCAATAGTAGTAGCGCTGTGATACCATATAGAGTACTAATCCCTTTCGATCTCATGAGTTTTACCGATGGTCTTATTTCCACCTGTGAGATCTCTGCCAAGCGTGCGTAATATTCTTCTATGATCTTGCACCTTCAACATTGGTCCTGACCCCCCCACAGGATGAAAAGTTTTCCCGTAAATTGACTAAATGAGTCGTGTGATCTCTTAAATACCGTTCAATTGAAGCCATTGATATACGTACCGCGGTCCTTCTTGGACGGATGTGGTCGAATCTTTCCTTGTCGATTCGCCACTTTTACAATTCGTCTTAATATTTATAAATTGGTTTCTTTGAGTCTTACTGCTGCATTAACGGCCGCCCCAAGCAATTTCCTCAATCGGAGGTAAATGCAAGATCGCATTAAGGGTGTATGAGGGCGTCTTTACATGCATACTTAAACGAAGATATATAGCTCGACTGCAGCGCAATCCATTAGGTGCCTTTTCTGCAAAACCACTGCTTGTCATGAAATGAATACGCATTATGAATTTCAACCAGATTTTATAAAATATAGCTGGTCATTTTTAGGAAACAAAGTTTTTATTATACAGGCATCTCACTTTGTGCATTTGAACGAAATCGGTTAATAAATACGAATTTTATAAGTAACTCTACTCCAGCGCCACCAGCGTGTTGTCCAATAGGCTATAATAGGAATATATGCAAGGCAAGGCCGTATTTAGGGGGGGGGGGGNTTTTGGGGGGGGGGGGGGGATATGAAAAAGGTAAAACGAACTTCAAAAAAAGACATATTTTTTAATTTTGTTATGAACTTCCTTTATGTACAATGTGAAGGTCCAATTAAAGATATAAAAAAAATACATACAGTGGTAAAAAAATTATAGTTTTAACGTATTATATTTGTTGTTATTGAACTTTTGCTATATTTAAAAAAAATATAGTTCGTTCTTTAAAAAAAAACCCGTGGAAATTCATGTTTCCAAATTTGAGCAGTCCACTTGCAAAGGCGCTATGTAAAAAACTTGTATTTATACGAATGTTGGTAAAGAACCAGGGTTCGTATTTGCACACACATGCTCTGCTCACACACACGCCAGAAACACATTCAACTTGTACTCACTGCTCATACACATGTGTGTGCATAAGTGGAAAACAAACTCTGCTCACAGAAAAGTGTGTGCTGTTTGTTATTAAGCACATGCACATGTGTGTGAGCCGATTTTTGTACAAATTTCAGCCCATGCACATGCACATAATATATTTTTAAAAGAATTTGTTTATTAAACGTTATTTTTTGAAAGACAATTCAATAAAAAGTGAGATGTTGTTTGTTTTTTATATGACAGAAAACATATTAAAAAATTATTTTAAGATTTGAGTTAGAAATCGAAGTGTATAAGTTTCTCTACGCAAAGCACACACATGTGCGTGTGCTTTATATTAATAAAAATAAAGTACACACATGTGCCCGTGCTTTTTACCAAACGGCACACACATGTGATGTGAGCAAGTTTTTAATTTTTTATATGCACAGCACACGTGTGTGAGCGTAAAATGTTAGGATGTGCTGCGCATGTGTGTGCAAATACGAACCCTGTAAAGAACGAACTATAAAAAACTAACCGAAATTAAATAACAACAAAAATAATATTTTAAAACTTGTCAAAATTTGGTGCGGCTATAATTTTTTCGACTACTGTACATAAGTTGGCTATGATTACTCGGCCGTGATATCATAGTTGCACAATGCCACTCATAATTGACTTACAAACAAACTACGGGCAGGAATTTCAAGATTTTAACCCTGTTTTTATGAAAAATTTTGTTTTTATCAGTATTTTTCTTTTAATCAAGATACAGTATTGGACATATCTATAGCACCCCCCTTTCAAAGCGATATTGTTTGCCACTTATGTTTAATTATTTGTTTTTAAGAATTTTCAATTAAAATACAGTTCGTTTTCCAACAAAACCCATATAAACCAATGTTTTAAACTTTTTAAAAGACCGCAAAAAAGTGCGACAAACTTTCCCTTAAATTTCAAACTTTTTTCTCAGAAGCTCTAGAATTTTTTTGAGTACACAGTTTTATAGCGCATTCAATTTTGTCCAATAATGTGCAAGTTTCAAGTCGCTAAAGATTACCGTTGATTTTTTAGAATTTTTTTTGTCTCATTTGCTTCCATATAACGACTAAACACAATTTATTTTTATATGGCAGAAACCCGCAACATCCTCGGCGAAAAAAATTCTAAAAAATCAACGGTAATTTTTAGCCACTTGAAACTTGCACATTATTAGACTAAAATTGAATGGGCTATACAACTGTGTATTCAAAAAAAATCTACCGCTTCTGAGAAAAAAGTTTGAAATTTGGGTGAAAATTTGTTGCACTTTTTTGCGGTCTTTTAAAAAGTTTTAAACTTGAGTTTATGTGAGTTTTGTAAGAGAATGAACTGCATTTTAATTGAAAATTCTTAAAAATAAATAAACAAACATGAGTGGCAAACAATATCACTTTGAAATGGGGGTGCTATTGTATTGACCAATACTGTATGTTGAAATAAAAGTGAAACTAAAAAAAAATTTGCCAGAACCCTCCGAAAAAAATTCCAGGCTACGGCCCTGATGCAAGGTATAACCTCCAACAATTTGACTGGGTTTTGAGTTTAGTCCGAACAACGAAAACGGCTATTATTTTATTTATGTATGTACATATATGTTTAGAATGAGAAAAAATCATCATGAAAGTAATAAACGTTTCGAATTTGCATTAATAAAATCGGTTCGGTATCGGGTCCGTTTTTCGCAAATGCATCATATTTAAGTCATCTGCGTCTCAAGAATAAATATCTTTTGAAGACAATAATTCAAAATCAGTTCTACTTACAAGATTTAGTAACAGAGAAAAATTACTGAAAAGTTAAAAACGTAATTTTTTACACAAAAAACGTCCAAACGTCAACAGGATACAAAAAACGTCTAAATGACGTTAAAAACGTCAACCTGGCAGCGCTGCTCCGAACGAAGAAAACGGCTATTATTTTACATATTTATTATTTTACGTATATATGTCACGTGTGTTTTTTTATTTCTTAAGAAAAAAATCGAACCGCATGGTCCTTAAATGTACGGAATCAAAGGGAGTTATGTGACAAAAGTGGAAATTGGTTTTATTCTTTTATTACACATATGATTTGGCGCCAAACGACCTTTTGTTTACTTTAAACAGATTTATTTTTGGAGCTATTTTCGTTTGAATATGATTTCGTTCTGCACTTCACAGATTTTTTTTCGTATAATTAATAAAAACCGGAAAAATATCTAAAACTATATGTTCTGCCTAATGGCAACAAATAGTTAACAAAATTAACAAAGAATGGGCAAAGATCACCTATGTAGCTACAACCACAATATGTGAGTGTGTTTTCAAATGTTCACTTTGATTACGCGATTGGCGCATTTGTAGAGATAATAGTTAGAGAGTTGTTTGAAAATTTTTCGATTGAGTTAAACTCATTCTCGATAAAAATTTCTAGACAATATCACTGTGATCGATCTAACATACCTACTTTTAAGTTTGTTTAAAAAATATTTTTCTGTTAAAAAATTTTAAATCGCTAAAATGGAAAAACTAAAAATGACTCTGTTTGGAAAAAATCATGCTACTTTTTCCTTATTGTAGGTTTTAAATTTATCTGCCCTTTAAACACAAATTTTGTTCTGAAGAAAAGGCCAAATAAATTTCAAAACCTACCTGAGAAAACGGCACTTAAACTTTGCGCTGATAAAATGCTACTTAAATATGAAGATTTTCTAACTTCTTTTAAAAAAAAATTAAAATCAATCAGAAACGTAATTGTTCTTACTATAAACGTCAACAAAAGTACTGTATATTAGTAGATATTCATTCAATTACGCGCATATTAAAATGACAGCGTTCGTTCTGAAAAAGCATCCGTGAAGTACACTTCAAGATAAAAACCAAAAAAAAAGATGACGTCACGCACACAGCTGATTCTGTCAAAATCGCAAAGAGCGGATTAGCGGTACCGCGATTGGCGCAACCTCTATTTCTCTCAATCGTGCATAATATGATTTTGTTAATTTCTTCCTTTTGACCACTTTTCCCCTCTTTTTCCCATACCGGCAAGTAATTATAATATCACAGTAAAGGTAAAAGAAAAAAAAAAAATAAGAATAGAAATTCATCTGATCAAAAGATGATTGTACCTAAAATCAAGTAAGTGCACCTAATGTACCTTTATGCCATGTTCGCATCGACATCGAAAACATGTTTTCCTTGCTATAACTGGTTTTCGACCTAAAACTTGTGTTTTCGTCCATGTAAAATCTGTCAAACAAAAATCAGTTTTCACTGAAGACTACTTGAAACTCACGTTCTACTCATTCCAATCGGTGTCTTCACTAGTATTTTAGATAAATTTATAGAAGTGGAAATCATATTTTATCATCTTTAATACGCTTTTTGGGATTTATTGTCAATTGGCTGGCCAAATTAAAATATGTACAAAAGGAGAAGGTTGCTAATGGTAAGGAAATGAAAGACAAAGATTTTGATTTTGTTTTTTTTTTCGTAGCAAAACTGTAAAAAAGGGATGAAGAAAATCCCTGGTATGTACACTTACATATACATACTCAGATGTGAACAGATAAATACGCGCGTAACAAATTTTTGTATGAAAATATTATTTTTAATACGAACATATTTAAACGCTAATCAAATATACATAAACTATTAATTTTTACTAAGCGTTATTTCCCACAGTGTATATGTAGATTTTCTTAGGTGGGAAAAGTACACTCGCACACTGTAATATACCCTAACTGGAAATTTTTACCACCATAAAAAAATCAATTAAAATTCGGGTGCCATAATAATGGCCACATTTACATTCACACATTCATATGTATATCTATACATAAATAAATGTAAATTGTGGTGTTGGGGTCGATGATTACCTTTTTGCGCGACGCTGTTGAAGTTGTTCCTGAAATTGTTGTTTGGTGAGATGTACACCACCAGCTAAGGGCAAACGAGAGCGAGGGGGCGACTGACCACTCCGTGTGCCATTTAAAATCGCAGTTGCAGCCAAATTTCCATTTGTATTCGAACTCGGATTTGCACTATTCAACGTTGGCCGTGTTGCCGCCTTATTGTCGGCGGCTATCGTTGTTGACGCTATGGAGCTGTCACGAGGTTTGGCCTTGCTAGCAACGGATGTGACGACATCGTTGCTGGCCAACACCACAGGATGTGAAGAATATGCATAGACGTGCGGTCTCAGAAACCATGGAATGGGTGGCTCTTTTGGGGGTGGCAAGAATACACCAGTCGGTACCGTTGTTATGAAGAGTGGACGTTTAATCACGTGGTCTTGCTGACTTGTCTATGTATGTATGTTCATGAAGTGAGAAAAAAGTAAGGGGTTTAGGAGAAAGGCACTGCTATAGAAATGTACTAAGTATATTGCAAGCTATCAGAATTTTCACATTTTGTATTAATCTGCTTAGGAAAGTATGTAATCGAATAGCGCGAAATTAGTATCAGTTTTTAAAAGAAAAAAAAAATACCCCGCGTACAGGGTTTAATTTGAAAAGTCTGAATTTCTACTCGGGGTTAGTGATAAGTATTTGCATATATTACTTTCCTTAGCATTAATATTCTTGAATTGATATATGTATTCAAGTCTATAGCGCAATTGCTGGAAAAGGTCCAGATCAAAATAAAATACATATATTCTTAAGTATGAAAGGGTCTTCACTTTTTTCTCTTAACTTCTTGACTACATAACTTTTCCAGTAATGCGCGCTTTACCACATATTTATTTAAAGCAAATAGGCCTACATTTGAAGATTGTCTGGACTTGGTCCACACATCTGGAGCTGTTGTTAAATGCAGGCTACGTAGCTTCCGATTCAATTCCTCTCTCAACTTTTCAATCTCTTCGTCGTTTGACCTTCCCGAGGGCAAATGCGTCATTTTGTTCGACATGGTGGAGGAAGAGAAACGATTCTTTTGACGATGAGATTGCTGTAGGGACCACAGCGTTTCTTCATCAGTTGCAACATTCTGGCGAAAGGGCAGCGCCGAATCCCGCTGCTCGTAACGACGTATCGGGCGCACAATTGCGTTTGGCTTACAACTGTCAAATTGGCTGGACAGGTCGTCGTTGTTGAGTACGGTGAAGGATGCAATAGGCTTGTGTGGATATAGACTCGTATTTATCGTTTGAGGGCTGCCGAAACGACTATTAAGGCTGCTGACATGTGGCTGGGGTCGATAGGTGCTGGCGAAAGAGAAATTTTGGTTGCGGACTATTGAGCTGCTGTTTTTTAAGTCCGATTCTGCGACAATTGCAGGTGCCTCGTTGGCTGCATCAGTAACAAGGATGTTGTTGTTTTCGTTATTGGTTTCTGCGTTGGGAGTGGGGTGAATTTCGGCCTTAGGCGAGTTTGGAGGGAGGTGCTCTGGATTTGTGGCATTGGGTTGGGTGTCAAATTTCATAATTTTTGACAGCTCTTTACCACGCAGGTTTTAACACTTCGAGTAACTAACTTAGCACTATTTCAACATAATGAATAACGGGTAAACAACGTAGTTAAAATTTAATATTTTATTCGAGAAATTTAGCACAAATTCACGTAAAGTCCTTTGGTCACTTTAGCTGCGTCAGTAAATCGATACTCGAACGAGTAATACAATTTTAGCAACATTGTGCGATACTAAATGAAAAAAACATATGCGTGCCGATTATTTCAAACGTTCCCACGACCACTAGTGTACTCGTAGCTGTTAGCGTTTAAAAGCAGGCGCACTCCATGGCACACGGCGACCAAATGACCAAAACATAAATGCCGCGCAGTGGCAAGACTCGGTCAGAACGCGGAGCTTAACATTCGGAAAAACGGAAAATGCCGATGGTCAATTGCTTTGTAAAGTGCGGGACTGGGTAAAGGGGGCCAGCTGGCGCACGCAACCAACTATTGTGTTCCTCAGTTGGTCAACAGCTGAGCGGAGTATTTAAATAAAGTGGGTTGCGGAAAGGATGGGACCTACATATGTACATACAAAATTAGTGTGAAAATTCTTGTGAACGACACATTTGTACGTCGGCATTATTTATATGCACGTAGGTGTGTACAATGTATTTAAAAATACTAAACATAGTACTTTATGTAGATGACGAAATTATGAAGTGTACTTCCAACTTTTTAAAAAGAACAATGAACATTAGTCCAGGTCTGCAAACAATTTTTGAAAGAACTACATTTGTAAAAGAAACTGCGCATAAAACTATGCCGCTAAAGCTTGTACAATTTTTAATTGTTTTTTTAAGCGCCTAAGCAGGGATCATACGATTTGTATATTTGTACAAATTTGGGACTTTTTACAGTTACAGGCTGGGGTTGTTTAGAGATTTTTTTTTTATTGAGCTGAACTCATTCTCTATAAAAATTTCTAGTCATCGGACGCACAATTCCGTTTGGCTTACAACTGTCTGTAAACTGGTTGGATAGGGCGTCGTTGTTGAAGATGGGGAAGGATGCAATAGGCTTGTGTGGTTATAGACTCGTATTAAACGGTGGAGGATTGCCGAAATCTCTTTTAAATTCGTCTTACTTTGTGTTTGAAAATAATATTGCGGGCAAATATCAAGTTTTAAAATAACAAAAAAAAAAAAAAACCCCGCAACATGTAAACTTAATTTTGGGTCGTAATTTACGGATCTGTATACCGTTTTCTAGATCAGGTAATTCTCTCAAGATTGTATAATTTTAAGTTTGCATTGTGAATGAAAAACAATTCTAACTTTAACAGAGAAAAAAATAACAGATATGACCATAATCGTGCATAGTCGTACATGGCGTATGAGTAACATTTTTCTGCTCATATTTCATTTAAAAAATCATTGCGCATTTTCCTTACCTCGGCCGGATAACGCAAAACTCGAAGTGTGAAGAGCAATTGTTTTATGAGGCTCTACTCGTAGACTGTGCTCTTATAAGGGTTTTAAAAGGCTCTGCATGCAATCATATTTTTATAAGCCTCTTCCTTTATACTGTTTTCTCTTCCATTTCATGATTAGTGCAAAACCTCTACAAATTCATACTTTTAGGTCTCTATTGCCGTTCTTCATTCAGAGCAATTATTTAGTCAGCAGCAAGCAAATTTATATAGTTATATCAATTATAATTTTTAGAGAAATTGCGCATTCTCTTTTCAGAGTAGGATTTGTCTCCAATAAGATCATCAATGCTCGTCAGTCATATCATTTCGTATTTCGGTAGATAAGAAAAAAGCTTTGTTTTTAAATACACACATTTTTCTGCGGAGATTAATTACACAGGGTAACACTCATTTTGGTGCCGCGTATATTTATGCTGTTATTGATATACTTTTTTTTACTGAGTACGAATCCGTATCCGGTATAAAGTTTCCATCAGCTTCAGATTTTGAGTCCTTTATTTAACAATAAAAAGATGCTAGGAAATTGTGCTCTTGAAAAAAAAATGTTTGCCAAAATCAGGTTGGGCTGTTCAATAAATAACTAAAATCGGCCTTAGGGTCAAGGTGCCTAAGTGAAAGGTTCTATCACCTGTTGTTTAATTGCGGTAGGTATTCAAACTTCGCCAACATCAGTTTTTGCTATTCAACAAATGACTACAAGCGACCATCAAGTCAAGGTGTAGGAATGGAATTTTCAGGGATAGTAGTCGAGAGTTCTAGCTTTAATAAAAGCCTAAGTGGAAGGATCTATAATCTTCTGTTTCATTCGTAGAGCTTCTAAAATATTGGGAGGAGCGCGATTTTTTGGCACTTTGAACTCGTTTTTCTCAAAATCTGGAGCTGATGGAAACTTTGTAGTCAGTCTACCAAAGACAGCTAAAACAATTTCGGCAAAAAAAAATTTGCTCCCATTTTTGTTGGACGGTGTTATTTTTTCAATTCGTGAAGTTGGATTCTTCTTCAAAAAGATCGTGAACACTCTTTATCCATATCATTTCTGACTTTAATAGATAATGAAAGAAAAAATACTCTATTCAAAGCCCTTCACGTTGACTATCTTCAACTCAATTCAATTGATTGATGATATATTAGTACAACTTGATACAAGGATCTGTTATATTCGTATTTTTATATCCGCTTACCACTTGAGCATTTTGTACAACCTTTTCTTTTCAAAGAATAAATACTCTATGCACCGCTCTTCACGTAAACTGTTTTGGATTTTTATATACAAATTGATTTTATAAGTGGCTTTGGATAGAGTTCTGGCTGTAGCGCCATATAGTTTTTTCCGTTTTACATTTTTTCGGAATCTTGATTATAGAAAATAATTCATTCTTGTGTTATTTATATTGAATGTCACCTTTTCACAGATTTTTTTATGATTATTTTATAGAGCAAAATGATAGAGCATTTGCCCTTCAGTTTTGCTCAAGTAAGACAGTATAAGACTCTTATAAAACTTTGTGTGTCATCCGGGCATTCACAACTTTATTTATCCATCGATGATCTTCGTTAGTAGCTTGAGCCAAGTGGTTAGAGGTGCGTACTTGATAGTGTCCGACCGAAGCTGGAATTTTGGCCGAAGCCGAGGCCGATTTCGAATATTAGGTACTATTCAATATTCGGCCGAACATCGAAGTCGAACATTAAAATTTAGTTTAACCGAACCGATTTCAAAACCAAGAACACCATTGGAAAGGTATTTTTCTGTAGAGTTTTTATGGTTTCATAATTGGTTGAAAATTGCGGCCAAAACCGTCGTTTAAACATTTTTTATTTGTGTATAGATGTTGCTGCAACATGTTCAATTTGAGTTGTTTCCGCATTTGGTTTACATCGTATTTAAAATTAAACTTTGTATAAAGATGAACGTGATGATGAAGAAATAAATGATAACATTAAAACAAAAAAAGCGAAGGCAACAGACGAACGCAAGATAAAGACGAAAATGAAAACAATGAGAAGTACATAAGAATTATGCAATTGTTGGTTGGTAGGTAGTAAATTGGAAAATTCCACGGAAATGGTGCACACCAAAGTGGTTCCAAGTGCTTCTTATATGCTTGCACGTGGTATTAGTTTAACAAAAACGTGGTAATACGCGGTTTAAGAATAAGATTTAGATTAAGACTAATGCAAGAATGAAAGTAAATGTTAGTACGTACATAGATGATGAGAAGCATAAAGGCAAAGGTAAAAATAAAAACAAAAACAAAGACGCATAAAGATAAAGGCAAAAACGAAGATGAAGGTAAATTTAAACACATTAAGGTAAAGGTGAAGGGGAATATGCAAAAATATGAAGAAAAAGGCGAGGATGAAGATGCATATTGTTAACCCAAATTGTCCCAGATTAATTTTTCTTAGATTTTTTTGGTTTCATCTATATACAGGGTAGAAGTAGCGTTAAAGTAAAGGAGGAGAAAATATGACTAAACTTTTGGGAGTAGTATAGTTCTTCCGATATCGGCCGTTGCCATATGGCAACACGGGGCATATTCCAGATGGATTGTTAGACGACAGTATTCGGTTAAAATATGAAATAATAGATTTATTACATTTATTGATAATATATCCATATTCTACGTGCAAAGAGGATGAAGAAGTTAATTTTTAGTATGAAAATTAGCAAAACATTTCAAACATAAATCCACATCACATTTTGCACAGGCTACTTGTCCTGTAGCTTTACATGCTTCACCGGCAGAAGGACAGTAACGCCCTTTATGCATGTAAAAGAATGCTGGGAGTCGCTTGGTGTTTGTCACCTGCTCTGATGCGTTGGTGCTACACAGCAATAATCAGCGCAATACTGCTCTATGGCGCTTTGGTGTGCTGGAATGCCGCAAAAAAGTCCTTATGCCTCGGGCCAATGGAGAAGGTTCAGCGCCTAGCGGTACTGTGCATCGCGGGAGCGCTGAGATCCACTTCGACGGCTGCTCTTTAAAAAACCCTTAGTTTACCGCCCATTGGCTGATTTGCGGAAAACCGTGCTGCGAAATGCGCACGTAGATTGACGGTCATAGGAAAATTCATTTTCAGAACCTTTTGGCACCGCTTAATAGGGTTTTCGCAATGAGAATAACTGCAGAGCTAGCCATCACCGAAACGACAATCAATTCAAAATTACACCTATTCCAGGCGGAAATTAAGGCAGATTCTAAACATTCAGATTAAGGATATCTTACCACCTTCGTTTGACGTCATATTTTAATATTTCATTTAATTTCTGCAGGTGGAAACCCTATTCAAAATATTTTAAAACCAAAATCAACTAGTTCTACCTAGATCTAATATATCCCTCCAATGCGGAAACAAGTTGGACGCAACAATATTGTGGACTGCGTACCTGAAGTTGGACTGATGAGGGTTATTTTTTTGAAGTGCAAAAAAACTGAGCAAAAATACTGTCACCCCTGATCTAGTTTAGCCTAGGCAAAACTAGTTTGTCCTAAGATCTGGTTTGGCCGGTAACATATACATATTATCCAAGAATGAGAGAATACAAGATTGCGCCTCTCAGAGAGGATTTCTGAGAATAACTTTTGTGTGACGTCACACTGGTGCAATTGCGAGGGAGAAATGCCAAAACGTGAGCAAGAATGGAAGAAGAAGAAAAAATGTTGCAAGGCAAACGTAAACAAGTTGCACAAGTGTGACGTCATACAAACAACGATTCTGTCAAATTCACTGAGAGAGGAATAGCGGTACCGTGATTGGCACAACCTCTATTTCTCTCAATTGTGCATATTATCGGAACAATTAGGGGATTCACAAGACGTGTTAACCGTCGTAAAATCT